CACAGAGGGGTCAGGCTGAGGCCAGGTGCTGTTGGAGCTTTCCTCAGGGGAAGGCAGGAAGGTAGAAGGACTTCTAGACTGCTGTCACATTTGTTCCAAGGAGGTCGTCTTTGAGTTTGAGTGTAAAGGTGAGTGAGGCTTAAAGGAAAATCTAAAGGTTGGGAACAGCCAGGAGGACATGAAAGATGAGAATAGAAATATGTAGGAAAAATGAGGGTCCAGTAGAGGTGGGCAGTTGAACTTGTGGGCTTTTCTCCATTCAGGAGGTGGTGAGGGCGGAACAGAAGGACTGTAATGAGCACCACATTGCAAGGGGCCAAGAGGAGTTATTGCTGAGGCCAGGACTGTGCTGATGCCAAACTGAATTTTTACTGAGGAGCAGAGCGACTGCTGGGAGGCATATTGTTGTAAATATCAGGGGAGAAGGAACACCATATCTAGAAAAAGAGGCTGAAAATGCAAACGAATTTTTATTTTCATTTTCATTGAAAATGGCAACGAATTCATTCATGCTGCAGACAGCGATCAGGAGGCAGGTATGAACCAGGAGAGGGAAGAGGGGGGAGAAATGGGGTCTGGTGCTGGTTGGGGCAGCCTTGAAGTCCCCCAGGTGACTGGGAGTGTTTCTGGGCAGTGGTAGAGCCCCTACCCTGTGCTGAGCAGCTGCTTGTTGCTTACCTGACCTTGTCTTGGGAAGGATTCCTCACCTGGGGGCAGGTTCTGACTACACATTAGGTTGTAGAACACATGCCCTGCAGGTAGTGAGTACACAGCCACCAGCCCCTAAACTTGTCTGACAAGTCCCCCAGCTCACTGATCCCCCGTTCCTTTGTTTTGGACGTTCTGTGCGGCTCGGGTGAGGCCTTGGCATCTGTATTTTGATAAGCACCCCCAGATCATGTTGATGCTCAGGCGAGTGTGGGGAACACTTGGGTGGGCTCCTTGGGTGTCCAGAAGGCTGGACATTGCCCTCTGTAATACTTCTTTTTCAGCTCCTCACCCCTGCTGACCTGCATGAGTACAAAAGACACTTCTGAATTTTACCCTGTAGGTTATTTCAGTGAGTAGATATTTGCCTGTTTTGATTTTAGAAGGTACCTTTCAGGATCTTTTGCAGGTTCCTAACTCAGTCTTTGCCAGTGTTTGAATATAAATATGCCTTCTGGGAATTCCCCTCAGCCTCCCTGCTCTGTGGAGCATGGATTGTTCTGTTCTGCCACCTGCTGGTCAACTGCAGGCAAACCATGTGGTGTTCTGAGGATGGTCCCATCTGGAAGACAGGATTTCACGCAGGTTTCAGTGGACATAGGTGAGGCAAACTCTTATTTCCAGTAGAGCCGTCTGCTCCAAGTGAAACCTTTACACTTCATGTTGCAAATCTGACAACGTTCATTTCCTCCTCTCTGGAGTTTTTTTTCCAGCCTGGGTGTTAAAATGTTAATGGCAACAACACATGTTGAGAGGTCCATTTGCCGTGTTAATCTCACAAAGACTGTTTTCTATATGCCGCACATCTGGTCCGTGGACAGATGATGCTGGCGATTCCAGGCCGTGGTGAGGACAGGTGGGATTCAAGCTCCAGAGAAGACATGTGATCTTGGAAAATTGCTTTTCTTCTCTCAGGATCAGTTTATTTTCAGTGTAGTTGCAGCACATTATCATCTAAGGATTTTAAAAAAGAATGGGGAGAGAGAAACATCCATGTGAGAGAGAGAAACATCAATTGGTTGCCTCGTGTACACACCCTGACTGGAAAATGAACCCAACACCTTTTGGTGTAGGGACACACTCCAACCAAATGAACCGCCCAGCCAGGGCATCCTCATTATTTTACACTGTGCCTGACTCTGGGTCCTAACTTTGCCCATGACCTAGACCTGACAGTTAACTTCTAAGAGTTGTATAGGGAACCTGTCGGGCGGCGGAGCTCGGCCAGAGGAGCACACGGCCTCTCAGCTTTGTCTCCTCACTTGTGACATGAAAGTGTAGGCCAGGGTCATCTCCAAGGTCTCCTTTGGTGCCAGGTTTCTGGAACTTAAACAACCAGCACAAAGCAAGCGTAGGGCTTGTTTTCCTAGTGACAGAAGGCAGTGTCTGGTCCTTGGGGCTAGTGCCCAGCTGTCTGACCCCGGCCGGTCCCCGTGGACACTCGTGTAGAAAGCTTCTGAGGATGCCAGTTTCTTGCTTTGTATCTGATGCTCTTTTAAACATTAAAAAAAAAAAAAAAATAGAAGTAGAAAAATGACAGGCTTCTTTTTTCCCTTCTGCTCTTAAATATGATTGATTAAAAACAGAGCTAGCATTTAACTTAGCTCCACCTATAAGCAAAATGTAAGCACTCTCAAAAATTAGTGGTTCTTAACTGGGGGAACAGTGCATACCTTACATAGACCATAAAGTTTGAAAAAATACAACTGCCAAACACAACTCCCAAACCCAATCTACGCATGGCTTCCTGAATACAGATCTTTTATAAAAGATGATGTGGATGTTCACCTGTGGTTGAGAACCAGGGTACTGATGTGTTTTCTGCGGGGCCTGGCCCATCATCCCGTGTCTTTGGGCAGCACCGGGCCATCAAACCTGTGGGGACTTACAGTGTCCCAGGGACTGTGCTCGGCTCTGGACCCTGGACACTGACAGATGTTCACTGATCATCTCCTCTGTTCCCGCCCTTCTCTCCCATCTTTACGAGGCTGGTGGCTAAACATTTTATTAGACTATTGATTTCTTGACTTATACTTGAGTAGGATGCTATCCCTTAGATAGTTAAATTTGATTTTGAACTCTCTTCAGATTTATTGTAACCTCATTTTGTAGAGGGTATCTCCCCTGGAAATGGTTGAGCATATACATGTTCATTCTTAAGTGACTTGGGTAATTTAAGTGACGGCGTCTGACCTGATCATAAATGCAGGTGGTAGCCCACTGTAATTCCTGCATGCTGAACAAGCAGTATTGTGCTGTGTGATAAATTAAAGCCTATTTGACACCATAAACGTTTTTTTCTTATTTTGAAATGTAACTCACTTTTAGCTAAGCATTTTCTTATCAGCTATAACCAACACTGTATTTTGTGAAGTTAGGCATTGGTACTTTTCTCCTGTATTTATTTATTTTTCCCATAGAAAAATTATCAGCAGAGTAAACATTAGAAAATGCCTGGAACACATTGTGAGTGTGTGTGTGTGGTTTGATGAAATTTGGAGTTTTCTATTTCTTTATACTTTAGCTATTTTATTTTAATTTTTTATTTTTTTATCCTCACCCGTTTGTTCAGGTAGAGTGGGGGAGGGGGAGAGGAACAGAGAGAGACAGAAACATCGACGTGAAGGGACACATCGAGCGGCCGCCACCCGCACAACCGACCAGGGCCGGGGACAAACTGCAACGAGGCACATGCCCTCAGCGGGAACCGAACCCGGGTCTCTCAGGACCGCAGGCCGACGCTCTAGCCGCTGAGCCAAACCGGCCAGGGCTACTTTAGCTATTTTAAATGACTGTCCTCATTTATGAGGGAGCTACGCCCGCACCGCTTTCGCAGTCATTCCTGTGAACTTGTCGGGATTCTGCACTTTCCCTTGAACCGGCGGTCGCCTCCCATCAGCCGGCGGAGAAAGGTGCACCTGCTACGGGAGCGGGCCCAGTGCAGGCAGAGTCAGTTACCGGGGATTTCAGCCCACAGGCGGCGGGGTGCAGGTCCTGCCCCTCAGCCCTGGCGCTCAGGGGGCTGTTTCTCCGACGGGAATCTGACTCCCCGTCCCAGCTCCTGCCCTTCCTGTCCACTCCAGGCATCGTTTTCACACCTCCGCTGGGGTGTCCAGCAGCCACGTCGGCCTCAAGGCCTCAAGGTCCCCAGCTGCCTCCGCCGCTGCTGCAAATGACCTACCGGTGCCTGAGTGCCCGTGATGTCGGCATTGTCTGTTAGTTTTTGTACCACCCCGAAGAGAGAAATCCCTGGTGTCTCTGGCGCAGGGCTGGAGCACTGGGGGGAGAACGGGGGTGCCCCCCTGGTGCCCCTCGAGGCAGCACCGGCATAGTCACAGTGCCGTCGTCTGTGCCCAGCCCCGTGTCCCAGGGCGTCCACAGGGGCTGGGCCGGGGAGGGAGCTGGACGGGGTCCCTGGGGCTCGCGCCTTCATTCGAGCGGCCAGTCTGGGTCAGCCCCGAGTGCACGCAGGGGCAGGGGTGTGTACTGTGGAGAAGTGCTTCGTCCTCTGAAGTTCTCTGTGGTGGCGGGTCCTGCTCGAGTAGTGATTCCCGGAAACAGCTCCCTGGATTTAGCATCCATTTTAACCCTGGGGAACAAGTGTTTCAACCCAAACTTTCCGAACGTCTGAAGTGCTTTTCAGGCCGTGTGTTTGCTAAAGTTCTCTTTAGCAAGACGAGTTGAAGACTCTGGTAAGTGTGTCTGCACAGGGACCACTGGATTGCCCCTTCTCTCGACAGCCTTTGTACTGAGAGGTTTCGCTGGCACTGGGAGAGGTGGCCGGGAGAGGTGGCCGGAGAGGGGGCCGGGAGAGGTGGCCGGAGAGGTGGCCGGGAGAGGTGGCGGGAGAGGTGGCCGGGAGAGGTGGCCGGGAGAGGTGGCCGGAGAGGTGGCCGGGAGAGGTGGGCATGTACATTACTGCAGACAGTGTTGAGCTGACAGAAAAACGTGTGTGAAGATGAAGCTGTCTTTATGTTCTGTTACATGTTCATGTGCTCCGGAGCACTTAAATTTGTTAAGCATTTTTTTTTGGTTAATCCTCACCCTAGGATATATTTTTTTCCCCCATTGATTTTAGATAGAGTGGAAGGAAGAGAGGGAGGGAACGAGAAAGAGAAAAACATCGATGTGAGAGACACATCAATTGGTTGCCTCTCGTGCGACCCTGACTGGGGCTGGGAATTGAATCTGTAACCTTTGACCAGAATCAAACCGGAGACCTTCGAACCGCTGAGCCAAACCAGCCAGGGCAAATCTGTTCAGTATTTATTTATTTATTTATTTTTCCTCAGAATTGTCCATGTCATTCGGTCATGATCTTACCCTCATAAAGGCAAAATCAAAAAGGATCAACACAAGATTTTCTTTCAGCAGGATAAATTTGTTAAGCTTTTAAAGAAAATATGCTCATGCAATCAGTGGAGTTTTGATAGACACGTGTACGGGAGACACCCAAAAGGCCATGAGCAGATTCGCACATAGACTACAGAACCTTAGAGTTCAGTTTTAGGCATACCCTGCTGGGATGTGTTCCTTTAATTATCTAAATAAGGTCATGGGAGGAGGATGGGGTGAATTGGTTTATGTGAAGTACCAAGTCCATAGTTCCTTTAGTTGCAGGGTGAGTGGGAAAGTTTTTTATATTAACTATTTTATTTCATTAAAAAATTTTTTTCCTTTATTTAGTTTTAGAGAGAGGGAGAGATAGGAACATCGATGAGAGAGAACATCGATGGGCCGCCTCCTGCATGCCCCCCACTGGGGATCGGGCCCACAACCTGGGCATGTGCCCTGACCAGGAATCAAACTGGCGACTTCTTGTTCGATGCTCAACCACTGAGCCACACCAGCCTAGCAATATTAACTATTGTATACAAATAATTTTAAAAGTGATTTGGGCCAGGCAGTACTGTTTATGAAACTTTATTACACAGTGCAATGCTATGCCTTGTTGACAAACACATCGGTATGTGGAAAAAGTGTGACAGACCGGTTTGGGAATGAGACACACCAAATTTAGAATAAGGGTTAATTACTGGGAGACTGGGAACAGGAGGGAAATTTATCTGTAACATCTTACTTTAAAAAAACTGAAGCAGACATAGGCAAATGTTCACTATCAGATATGTGCTGGTGTCTCTTCTGTATGTTTAAAAGAATTCTGAAAGAAAATTAGACACTAAATGATTAAAAACTTTAGTGTATGTTTAGCATACACACTATGAAAAAACAGATACCAAATTAAAAAAACCTAGAGCAATTATTATACTATACCCGGCTTGTAGTGTCCACTGATAATATTTTCAGCATGCCATCCTAGTCTGTCTGTATTCATCCGATATTATAGCTATGCTTGTGGTATGATGTTTGCATTTTTAGTGGAATTATGAGTAGACATTTGAACTCTGAATATTTATTTGAAATTGTAGTGTAATGGTGTTGAAACTAGTGGTTTTCAAACTTGAATATACATAAGATGCCTTTAAAAGCTTGTTTAAATGTGGGTTCCCAAGTTTCTCTCCAGAGGCGTATACTAAATAGGATTCCGGAATGTGCGTTTTTAACCAGCTTTCCTGGCTCCCTGACTTCCCCACCAGTCCAAGGAGATGCTGATCCAGGTGTCCTGCGGAACTCATTTTGGGAAGCACTGATTTGAACTGCCTGTGCCTGTGCCATCCACACAACTCTGAGCGCCCCATATGTGTTTTCCAATCCAGGCTCAGTGAACTGGCCTGTGGACCAAATTCAGCCTACCACCTGTTTTTGTAAATAAAGTTTTATTGAAACCCAGCCTCCCTGATTTGTTTACATATTGTCTGGCTGCTTCTATGCCATGGAGGCGGATTGAGTGGTTGGATTAGAGACCACAGAGCTGGCAAAGCCTAAAAACTTCACTGTCTGGCTCTTTACAAAAACCTTTACTGACCCCTGCAGGTAATCCAGCACTTTGTGGGGGAGGATATCAAGGGAAGCTCAGCAGAGAAACTGGAGTACATTGAACAGGAGGGTTGAATATGATGACAAAGGGCATATTTTGGCCAGCTCAGTTTACAAGCATCGATTTAGTCCTTCCTGTGTGCCAGGTACACTGTACCCTGTGATGAAACCGCAGTTTCCCCCCGTGAGCAGTCCGCAGTCTTCACTGGCAAGTGCATGACTTCAGGTGTAAAAGGGTAAGGGCAGCATCTCTTTTTTTGGGGTGCTATGGGAGCACATGGCTGGGGCAGCTAACACAGCCCTCAGAGTCATTAGTGGAGGTACTGCCCTGCCCCAGTCATGTTGAGGCAGCTCAACGAGCCCTGATTAGGCCTAGTTTTCCCAACGTTTGCTTTCATAAACAACACAGAATACATGCCTGAAAAGGACTGAGAAATTTGGGAAAATGTAAAGACTGCAAAACAAACACAAACAAACAAACAAAAAACTCAGGGGAATTCTTACAAAATGAACAGAAATGCTTAAAGGTACACTGAATTGCACACTCCCCCTGGGTGCCCCCCAAATTAATTTCCTATGATACTGTAAAAAACAACCACACACTTGAGAATGTACTCTCTCACCGCTCTGGAGGCTGGAGCCTGGACTCAGGTGCTGGCAGGACTGCATTCCCTCCGACACCAAGGACATGCACTGTTCTTTTTCCTTTCTGCCCCCCTCCCCTGCTCACATTCCTTAGCTTGTGGCTGCATCACTCTGGCCTCTGCCTCTCTCTTAACAAGGACATGAATGAAACACATTTAGGGCTCACCCAGGTAATCCAGGAAAATTTCCCATCTCAAGACCTGTAATCACTTCTCCATACCCTTTATCCTGCCCCCATTACTAATGCTAAAAAGAATGAGTGATTCTGGGGTTATTAATTTCTACCAGGTCATTGTTCTTACCAAATCATCACATTGGCCACACTCAGGAGTATACTGGAGCCAGTGTGCACAGGCTGTGAGAGCCGGTTCTTAAAATTGTAGGATTTTAGCTGGTTGCTTATGAAATGGTTGATAGCTTGAAAGTGGCCGGAGGGGAGAGTCTTTACACCATGGAAATACTACAAATCATGGCCTCCCACACCCTGACCCCCACCCAGGGAGCTGGTCTACCAAGACACCGCTTATTGGTCAGACCTCTGGACCTCTAGTAAGCCCACCTCAAGGTTTTCTTACCCTGAAGAACCCCCAGAGTCCTGGAGACTTGGCTGAAGCCCCGACTTGTTTCTTTTATTTCCTTTTTTGCACTATCTTAAAAGTAGCTGTGTGCATATCTGTGTCCTACAGTTACATTTAAACTCTTGAAGGGCAGGGCCCTGTCTTTGTGCTTTAGTATTAGGATGCCTGGCTGATCTGGATCCATAAATATAAACTGATTGCTTTGTTTTGGCTCTTTCCCACCTCTGGGGATGCCTGGGGGAATTGCAATAATCATTGTCTGTCTGTCTGTCTGTCTGCCTGTCTCTATCTATCTGTCTGTCTGTCTGTCATCTACCTGCATTTCTGTCTCTTTCCTTGTTTGAGAACGTGTTTGAATTTAGCTACTGGGTACTACCAATGAATGCATTTTAAGTACTTTATGCCTAATTCTGTTTACTCATATCTTTACATGTACGATTTGTCTGGGTCAGTGGATCACTGCAGTTATCAGCAATTTTTTTTTTAAATCCTCACCCAAGGACACTTTTGCGTTCATCTTCAGACAGAGCAGGGGGGAGAGAGGGAGGAAAAGAGAGAGAGAAACATCAATGTGAGAGAGACACATCGACTGGCTGCCACCTACACAATCCCAACCAGGGCCAGGGACAAACTGCAACTGAGATACGTGCCCTTAGCGGGAACCAAACCCAGGACTCTCTGGTCTGCAGTCTGACACTCTAACCACTGAGCCAAACCGGCCTGGGCAGTATCAGCAATTTAAAAAAATTATATTATGTATTGGTTTTGATTATACAGCTTAGTGGTTAAGCAGTCATATACTTTACATAGTGTTCCCCTCAATATTTCCAGCACCCCAACTGGCACCATGCATAGTTATCACAATATTATTGATTGGCCCTGGCCGCTGTGGCTCAGTTGGTTGGAGTATCCTCCTATAAACCAAAGGTGGTGGGTTGATTCCTGGTCAAGGCACGTACCCAGGTTGCCAGTTTGATCTCTAGTCAGGGCATGTGCAGGAGGCAGTGATTGATGTTTCTCTCTCGCATGGGTATTTCTCTCTTTCTCTGTCCCTCTCTCAAATCAATATTATTGACTATATTCTCTATGCTTTACTTAACTTCCCCATGACTATTTTAACTACCAATTTGTGCTTCTCCAGGTATCAGCAATATGTAACGCGTGTTTAGTATGGAATAGCAGTGCAGTAAAGGTTGGCCGAATGGATAAAATATCTGTTCATAAAACATATATATTCAGTGTGCTCTACAGAGCCATAGTGAATATAGTTTTAAAGGGAACTAAATAGAATAAACCCTTTGCAAGTTTACTTAAGGTTGACTGACTCTTTTTTTTTTTTTTTTTGTCTTAAACATGTACTAGGAAAAGCTGATGTAAGAAATGTTTTTCGTTGCCAAAGAACAACTGAATTCACATGGGAGAACCCAGGAGGCCCCAGCCTGTCTGTGTGGATTAACAGGGAGGATGTGGCCGCTTTTCCGATTTGGTTCATCGTTGACTGTTGTAGGCTCTGAGCTGGATCGTTGGATCCTGAGGTTTGGTGGATGGAAGCCATGCACATGTCTGACAAATTGAAACAGTTGCACAGCGCAGCGTTAATAACCCTCTTTCTTCTCAAAGTGAAGCAGTATAACTCGATGAATGATGGAGTTTTACTCTTAACTCTTTAATTAGACAACATATACATTTTTTTAGTTTACAAATTTTACTTTTACCTTTTGGAATTTAGCAATAAAGAATTGATCGCTATAAAGGTCTAAGTACCTTCTTGTCCAGAAACATGTTAAGATCAAAAGGAAGAGGCAACTGTCTCGACCAACATTTGTTCAGTGCTGGTTGTGTGTAAGGTACCGTAAGGGGCTTGCAGGTGAAAAGATGAGATCCCTGTTGTCGGGGAGCATCATGGTCCAGCGCTTTGCTAACCCGAAGGTGGCCTGTGGACTGGAGTCTTTCAGGTCCTCCCACAGACCTGAGTCAGACTCTGCATTTTAATAAGATCTCCTATGATTTATGTGCATAACAAAGTTTGCCAAGGACTGGTTGAGTAAGTAAAAAAAAATAATTTTAAGGATCACTGGAGCCAGGCCATTGCACCAAGGACAAAGGAAATCATGATTAGAATAGCATTTTTTTATTATTAATTTATTTTTGTTACAGATATTTCTCCTTTTTTCCCCATTGACACCCTCCTCCCCATCCCCACTCCCACCCCATCCCCAGCTTTGTTGTCCATGTCCGTCAGTTATGCAT